GCGACGCTCTGCATCGATTTCCAGGGCTTTCTTGTTTCTACAGAGTTTATGTAGGGTGCTGCTGGTTTGGGGTGTTATGTCAGCAGGCAGAGTTTAGGAGTCTGACAGCTGTGGGGAAGAAACTGTTTCGGGACCTGGTAGTCTTAGTCCATAGGCTCCTGTAGCGCTTCCCAGAGGGCAGGAGGGTGAAGAGTCCATTCGATGGGTGACTGGAGTCTGATGGTTTTCCCTGCCCTTTTCAGACACCAAGAAAAAAGGAGAGTAACTTTATTTTGTTTGTGTGATTTTATTTTGTTGTGTGACTACTGGTTGCAGTTCCCTGTTCAATTGATTGCTGTTCCCTGTTAAATTTAAAAAAGAAAAAAGTCTAAAGTTTTGTTTTGACTGGAGAGAACTAAAAAAGGTTACACTGTCTTCTGGTACTAGCTCAAAATAACAAGTGGTGCTTGCTGCAGAACCACAAAGGCGGAGCTGCACCAGAAGGTGGAGCTGCACCAGAGTCAGCCCCGCCCATTCCAGAATCAGCCCCGCCCATTCCATTAGAGTCAGTCCAATTCCTTCCAGTTGTCAGACTTGATAGCATTCTGGAACCAAAGAGGGTGTTGTAGCTAAAAAATGCGAGATTGAGGACGGAGTTGAGAAGTTAATTGAACAGTTTTTGTAAAGGTTCCATATAATTAAAAATCTAACTTTTGGAACTTTTAATCATGTTATATTGTCATTTCCTCATAAGAAACACGCCAAAGCCATTTTTAGCCTCATTCATGCATTTTCCTCCCATCTCAGCTTCAATTTGGTCTCCTCCCCCGAAGCGGGTCTGGTCTTGGTTCTCAAATCTGGATATTCTGTGAATTTTCTGACAAATTATTTCTGAAATGACTACTACTGAGACACCGCCAATAAACCATACATCCCATCTCAGAGACACACTGGGCAGCACAATTACATGTAACGCCACTTGATTTATAACAGATGTGGTGGTGTAGTGGTTATGGAGTCAGGTTGACATGCTGTTTCGCCTCCCAGTAGTGTAAGTTTTAGGTAGTTTACAACCTCTTTTCTTCATTTCTAGCTACACTTGCCAGTACTATGTTTACAACAATTTACTGGTATACCGTTTAACATATAATGTGTTTATTTATTTATTTATTCGTTTATTTAGCCAGTGTGAGTCCATTTGTGAGCAGAGTTTCAACTAAAATGCTGTTTAGGAACGACCAAATTCAAAGAACTTTTAGCGACATAAATATTTTGCTGAAAAGAAACATTACAACTAAAATATAAACAAATTGAATGTGGTTAAATAGACTGCTGATGACCCCACCGAGAATCGAACCAGCATCAGCTGAGGGGAAAGCAAAAACCAACTCAGACGATTTTACCATTAGACTGCCAGAGGCCGTTCAATAAACTGAAGTGCTGTTGTACACCACTTTTATTAAACCAGCTGTAGGCAGATATTCGCTAAAAGAAACCTTTTCATTTCGAGATATATTCAGTCTTTGTCATGTAGCAAGTTATATTTATCTTGTTTAATTGGAGTATAGAACATAGCATTAACGACTGTAAACTAGTAACAGCCGTAATTCATGTGGGTCAGGTCAGTTTGCGATAAAGTTGAAAACAAAAACGTAAGTCAGTGGGCTAGGCTGAGTTTGCGTGAATGGGCGGGGTGCAGCTCCGCCTTTGTGGTTTTGCAGCCAGCACCCTCTCCAAAATAACCACAGTTTTTTCCCTCAGTGTCATTTGATCTATTTCTTGGGAAGATGGATGGATGGATGGATGGATGGAGATATATATATATATATATATATATATATATATATATATATATATATATATATATATATATATATATATATATATATATATAAATAATTATTTTTAATATAGCCTTTTTCAATACCAAACTTTCAATACCAAACAAAAATTAACTACAATAAAATTACTGGCACACTAAATTCCAATTCTCCTCAATGGGACTTGAACTCGCCAACTGATCTCCCTTACACGACACCAAACGAGGTGCTTTACTTGATTTGGGAGGGGGGAATAAAAGCAGTAAAACAATAAAACTTTGAACATTACAACACAAAGAGAAAATAAATAATGTTACAGCAATTGCGGAATGCCATCTGCGGGATTCGAACCCGCCGCAACGACCAACCAGTAGGTGTCAAACCATGACTAATGAGTGCAAGCCTTGGCGCTCAGGGGCACCCATCAGTATGTGATTGTGAGGCCACAGCACATACGTTTTAGACTGGGTGGGATTCTTATACCCAACAGGAGTCTTCTGCCCGCCTTCTCATTAGAATATGCATAATTTGTGTTTCAGGCACTAGTTAACTAGTGAGCTGCTGCACTGCCACACATGTAAACTGGTGAAATTTCAATTGTTCCACTAGTTAACTAGTGGACAAAAATGGTCAGCTTGTATGTGTTTTTAGATGTAACTAGTTAACTAGTGAGCAAATCCGCACCTCACTAGTTAACTAGTGAGGTGCAGATATGCTCACTAGTTAACTAGTGAGGTACTAGTGAGGTGCAGATATGCTCACTAGTTAACTAGTGAGCATATCTGCACCTCACTAGTTAACTAGTGAGCAAATCCGCACCTCACTAGTTAACTAGTGAGCAAATCCGCACCTCACTAGTTAACTAGTGAGCAAATCCGCACCTCACTAGTTAACTAGTGAGCAAATCCGCACCTCACTAGTTAACTAGTGAGCATATCTGCGCCTCACTAGTTAACTAGTAAGCAAATCCGCACGTCACTAGTTAACTAGTGAGCATATCTGCGCCTCACTAGTTAACTAGTGAGCAAATCCGCACCCTACTAGTTAACTAGTTGGCGTTTTGGGGCACACTAGTTAACTAGTGAGCATATCTGCTCCTTACTAGTTAACTAGTGATGCTTTTTTGCACCTTACTAGTTAACTAGTGGGCGCTTAAGGGTGCACTAGTTAACTAGTGAGCAAATCTGCACCTCACTAGTTAACTAGTGAGCATATCCACACCTTACTAGTTAACTTGTGGGCGTTTTGGGGCCCACTAGTGAACTAGTGACACTTATTTTGCACCTCACTAGTTAACTAGTGGACATTTGTACCCTCTCTAGTTAACTAGTGAGCAGTTCCGCCTTCACAAGTTTACATGTAAGTGTCACACTGAAGCCACTACTAGTTTACTAGCTGAGGTTCCTCTGGCCAGCATGTTAACTTGTGTGCCGCATGCAAATGTTTGGGGTGGGATTTTGCAAAATTCCGCACTGTGATTGGTTGTCATATTTTATTTTAACATAGTGAGCCAATAGAAAGCCTCAATTTGAGAAATTCTCTGCCTCTTAATTAGAATTCTGTGCAACTAGCTAGCTAGTGTGAATGTAGGCTTGAACTAGTTTACTAGTATACATTTATGTCCTCACTAGTTAACTAGTTTGGACAATGGATGCATCAACTAGGTAACTAGTGAGCCTGCTACAATCAACTAGCTAGCTAGTGAGTCATTAATGGTTCACTAGTTAACTAGTGGCACTGCCCTACTCCAACTACTTAACTAGTTAGGAGTTTTGCCTTCACTAGTGAACATGTGGACACTTTGAACTGTCACTAGTTAACTAGTGAGACACAAAAACCTTCAACTAGCTGACTGGTATGCATTTTAGCCCTTACTAGTTAACTAGTGAGCCATTTTTGTGTCACCTAGTTAACTAGGAAGCCAAAATGTGTTCACTAGTCAACTAGTGGGCATTTCTTCTGTCACTAGTTAACTGGTGTGCACATTTTGGCCATCACTAGTTAACTAGTGAGACACAAAAACCTTCAACTAGCTGACTGGTATGCATTTTGGCCTTTACTAGTTAACTAGTGAGCCATTTTGTGTCACCTAGTTAACTAGTGAAGCCAAAATGTGTTCACTAGTTAACTAGTGAACATTTCCGTCTCCCACTAGTTAACTGGTGGGCTCATTTTGACCCTGACTAGTTAACTAGTGAGACACAAATACCTTCAACTAGCTGACTGGTATGCATTTTGGCCTTTACTAGTTAACTAATGAGCCATTTTTGTGTCAACTAGTTAACTAGTGAAGGGTCAAAATGTGTTCACTAGTTAACTAGCGTGTACAGTTTTACCCTCACTAGTTAACTAGTTGACCTGTTGACAAGATATCAGAATTAATGCTCAAGCGGCTGGCCAAATTGGGCAAAGTTAACAAGTGGGATTTTTACATTCAGTAGTCAGCTAGTACGAGTTTTTGTACCTTACTAGTTGACTAGTAAAAACTAAATGTGTTTTAACTAGTTAACTAGTGGACATTGATCTGTCCACTAGTTAACTAGTGAACACACTGAGCAATACTAGTTAACTAGTAAGATATGAAACATTTTAACTAGTTAACTAGAGAGAATTTAGGCCTTACTAGTTAACTAGTTGACATTTAGGCTGTCACTATTTAACTAGTTGACACAAACATGGCTAACTAGTTAACTAGTGGACAGAAATGGCTTACATGTTCATGACAATTCTGGCTGATATCCTGATATCAGAATAAATGCTCATTTGGCTTGCCATATTTCAGACACTTTGAAGTAGTGTTTCCCTGAAAATGGAAAGACACACGTCTTGTTCTTCGTAAAATGCACATCACTTCCATCCAATTTAGATGAAAAATACGGGGTTTTAAAAGTCAAAGTCCTAAAAATCAACAGTTATTTTTGCTTTACTGCTTTATGTAAACCATTTGCTGCTACTTTAGGTTTAGCAATGTAGCAAATACAGCTGCCTCAGAACAGAAGTGAGAATGTGTCACAGAAAATGTGTCCCCTTACAGCACTTTCACAAGCCTTCGTGTGCTTTCTGCTACATGCCAGGTATATGGTGTTAAATAATTTAATGTATCTTAGTAGCTTACGGAGTTCACTGTTAATACATCAGAAAATATGATGTGCAACATGTTCCACATGAACATGCACAAAACATAAAAGAACTAAAACTCACCTGAGGTTGTGGGCCTTGCTTGGGGAGGTTTTGGACCCATGCTAGCTTCTATTCGTTGTTTTTCTTTGCAGACCTGATTTGTGCCCTAAATTGGAGGGAAAGTTCTGTCACATTTGTGCAGCTGCAGCCATGACAAGGAAGATGGTTCTTTCTTGTCTTAACTGTACATCCACATTCCTCTATTGAGTAAATTAAAAATATTTTATACAGCTTCTAGGATCCTTGCTCAGATTTGGGGGGAAAAGTCACTTGAACTGAACTGTTAAGGATTTGGCTGTTAAGGGGAAGAGGCTGTGATCATATTTGACATTTGTTCAAATAATGAACTATTCCACTGATCTCAACTGATTTTCTCTCCACTGTCACTGCATGCATGCTTAGTATGAGAATTGCTGTAAAGACTCTGACACTAGTCAGTGACTCGATGCAACCTGCTGGGTTCCTTATATAGGAAACCTTTTACTGACTGGCTTAATGAACTGACCTGTATTGGAATGTTTACTGTGTGAAGTGCCTTGAAACACTAGTGATTTGGCGCTATATAAATAAATTGAAATTGAATTGAATTTCTTTTGGGGAAAATGGCAGATTTCAGTAGAAAATTTGGAGGGGACATTCTATTTAAATTCATTGTTAATGGTCAATTTTACTCTTTCCTACATTTGCAGTGGTCTCTAGTAGGAATGAATGCCTTATAAGTCGTACTCTGGCCGGAAAAACTCCGGTGAGCCAGTTTGAGGACGTAGAATTCAGCTTCATCATCATCATCATCATCATCATCATCATCATCATCATCATCATCACCTTTATTTATAAAAGCACTTAACAGACATATATTATGTCACCAAGGTGCTGAACAAAACTAAACTAAAAAAAAAAGATAAAAACAAAGAATATATAGGAAACCAAATAAAAAAACAGCAAAATACAAAACATCAATTAACACACCGATTTAAAAGCCAGATTATAATAATGGGCCTTCTTAAAAACCTCTACTGACGTGGAGAGTCGCACAGATAATGAAGATGACATTTATTAAAAGTCTTGATAGATGCTTAAACCTTCACCTCTGGCTTATATTGTCTTTGGTCCATAGGCGTTTAATCCATGCTATGAATAGTATTAATGTTATTGTTGTGTCTATATTAATATGTAGGAAAACATAGAGGGAGGGGATTTTCTAATCCTAGAGTTTCATCGTCTATGCAGAAGGTAGGTGTAGGAGACTATTTTCATGTTCAGCCTGCATGAATATCTCGGAAACTGATTATAATCAGAAAACTTCTACGGTTTCTTTCAGCTAAGTTGATCTTTGAATAAATCAACATTTTAGCAATGTTCTGTTTTTTAATATTTTTGATTGTTCCTACATTTATTATCTCATAACTGATTTTGGTATGATGGGAAAATGGAACACCTTAAGAACAGGAAATGTAGAGGGATGGTGTCTCGGAGCATCTCGTGTGTCACGTTTCCACTTGACGGTCGGCAGTTTGTCAAATGAGTGTGACTACTGCGTGACATGGACAGACATTTGGAGACATACGAAGACACTGTAAATGGGGAATGTGAAATTCCACCTTGTGGCTCACTCTTCCCAACTGGCTGTGGAGTGAGCTGGCTGTGCCAGAAATTTAACTACTGAAGATCCAAACTTAGTCAGGGAACAAATATCTTTGCAATAAATGGAGGGCTGGTACTCATAGGGAGATGCACAAACTGATTTTAACTTATTTTATGTCAAAACTTAGCATTTAGCTCTTTTAATAGCCAATGTTAACCCTTAAGGACCTGCGGTCATAACCCATTTCAAACATCTACAAAATTGCTTCTTGAGTCAAAAATTCTAGTTTGAAAACCCCAAGTGACATTCCATCCATACATATATAGAAAATTATTCAACTTTTTTATTTTATTTAAATTATTCCACATTTTGACATATTTATTCTAATTCAAAAGAGGTTCTATTTTACAAATGCATTTCAATACTTCATTAGATTTTTGTTGAATACTATGTGAAACATTAAGGCAAGTGGTTCTGTTTAACAGTTGGTTTGTTTTTTAATTGTTCATTCAACAGAATTGACATGTAAAAGGCCATAAAATCAATATTCAGCTGTTTACACATACAGGATGCACGGTTATGTTACATTTGAAATTTTGATGTAATATTTATTTTCATATTTCACATTTTGCACAAAATCAAGTCTTTGTGTTGAAATAAATATAAAAATGGGCTTTGCATCAAAAATGTGGTTGTAATTGTGTTTTTTATTGTTTGGTTCTTTAATTTTGTGGACAGGAAAAAGAAAAGAATAAATCCTGTCTGTCTGTCTGTCTATCTGATGTTATAGATAGATAACATTTATCGATTGATCGGTATCTAACCCACCAACACATCTGATAAACCCTAGACCACAGGCTCATGGTTGTTAAGTTCAGCATCCCCTGCCTGCAGCAGTCTGCTGATCTTTAATGGGAAAACTAACTTAAAGAAGTCTACTAATATAAACTGATTTTTACATTTAAATTTGACTATTTTAATTATTTCTGTGGTGTTTTGTCCCAAACAGGTCAGGAGTAAATCCAAGCTGGCAGTTAAAAGTTAAAGTTAACTTTAAGTTGTGATGATGGAAAGCTACCTCCACTGTAGTTTACAATTGGTGTTGTGTATTGATATGTATACATTTAGTCGAAGCTGTAAAAAAAATACCATCTGTTTGAAGGTATTGAAAGATTTAGGGCCCAAAAATGCATCCAAATATTTCAATCATTTATAAATGACTGAATGTAAATTATTTACAATTCTTCACAGTTACTATTTAATCCAAATTAAACTACTGGGTATTTTATAATGGCTCTGAATAATTGTTAATCCTCTGATGGATTTTTTTTTGTTGTACAATATTTCCAAGAAAAAGAAGATTTGCTTACCGTCTGATCTCTGTCAGCGTTGTTCAGCCACAAGTCTCCTCGCTGTGTCATAGATCGAATGTGAGCTCCCCTTTTTGTTGGGCGATAAAAACTTTGGAATGCATAATAACCCCTTTCATGGGTAGTTGGTAAAATCCCATGTTGCCACAGTGGTGAAGGGTGGAGACACCTATTATGCATCTCTATGAAAGCGATCAGTTTGCAGCTGGCAGCAGACATATATTATGGCTGTTCATTCAATCTGACCATAGACGTATCAAGTCAGCTGTTTATGCTGAGAGTATAAAAAGAAACTTCATCGTTATGTATTTATATCAAGAATATGAAACGGTGATGATTTCTGTTTGTCACGGTTATTGTTGCCTTTCTGGGGGATCTCGATGCACTTTATGTTTCAGAATTTGTGATTGATGCATTTAAAACACGTCCATGTTGATTTTCCCAACAAAAGCCGTTTTACTGGCAGCTTCACAAGCTTTCTAGTAACATGACCACTTAAGAACGGATTTTATTAGTCAGCAAACATTAACATGAGACATTTCATTTGGTAAAATGATCTCATATTGGTGTTGATGGGCTGGCTGTTCCAATTAGACCTGATGTGTATCAATAGAAATTCTCACAACATGCCTGTGGGATTTGGTTGGTCACGCTGGACTTGCTGTAGCTTTATAAAAAGGTGGTTACTCATGGAGGCCTTGGACATGGTGTGCTGAGTGGCTTTATTTTTTTAGTTTATGCTGTCAGGGGTTAAGTATGCACGACATTTCTGGACAGTCTGAATGATTGCCCTGAGCTTGTTAAAGGAAGTGACACAGCTGCGAGGAAAGCCTTGTGACATTTCTGCAGATAAACGCGAATATCACCCCTGACCTAGTTGGAGGAACTAAACGGGCTTGGTTACGCCTTTCCAGAACCATAATTACTCATAGGAACGTTTAATACCGTCTGAGAAAATGTGAAATATTAAAGACAAAGTTCACTCTTTTTTTTAATTAATTTTCAGTAGTCTGAGTCGATCTTTGTGGTGAATAAGGACTGCGGCTCCTGTTTCAGGAAGTAGAAGTTAGCCAGAGAAGAAGACAGCAGGATTTGGAGTCTTTTTTCCTGATATTCAGACAACTTGCCTCCTAATGGCTAACAGAAATGCAACTTTACCCCTGACTTCGCAACTTTGATGTTGCTTCTCTACAAATAACACAAGCCTGAATGAGTTCTGCTGTGTTGTGGAGTTGCTGTTGCTATCGATTAGCTTCTTCTAGCAGAGATGTGCTCTGCTCTCTCTTGGAAGCTAAAGCCAGGCAAACGTGACTTTCTCATTCATAGCATTCAGCTCCATCTCAAAATGTATGACTTCCTCGCAGCTTGGGGGGTTGGCATTTAATTTTTCTTGGTGTCTGCAAAACATCTCCTTCTGCCCCCTTTACTTTGGTCCAAGATCATTACTGGGCTGGCCCTATTGAAAACGTTCTACACCCCTGCTTAGTAGACTTAATGAAGTAGTTTTAAGCCAGTATGAAACTGACTGAAACACAAATATACATATTTGGCATTATTGACCAATATCGTTGATTTAACTTATTTGTTTAGAACACCAAGATGCATTACAGTGAACATTATAATAAAGTAAATTTTCTAGCAACCCATAGAAGCACTGATTTGATCTCATTTCAGAGAAAAAACAGATCAGATGCACCTAAAAAATAAAATTACTATCATAAACTCAGGAATCTGTTTCTTTGCTTCATTGTTCTGGTGCTGAAAATATCACTCATGTGGATCAAAGGAGATACACAGATGAATGCATCTCTTATTTATTATTTGGAAATTGGACGACAAGTCAGTCTTCCCTACATTTACTGCAGGTAGCAGAGGCAGAGATTTTTCTATGGATACACAAATTTACAGAATCATTTTAAATTTTAATAGGGGAAGACTGCAGGAGGGAGCGGTAACATACATGGGTCCCCAGCAAAAACAAGAAACTTTACGAGTCTGATGAAACCCGCTGATTTTCCATCAGGCAGTCATGGGGCAGCTCCAATGACCCAGTGGCTATGCAAACTAGCAATGGGTCAATGTTATCAAGCTCAGTCCTGCTCAGCAGAGGGTGAACAAGGCAAAGTCATGCTCTGCTTAAGAAGTTTTATTTTTCCGCTTCAGAAGAAGTGGTCAACGTGTTTTTACGCTTTCTGCGAGACATGTCATGTCGCTAAGTTGTTAACGCCGCGCGCTAACACGTCAATAATGCATTGTAGCCTGCTGGAGGTTTTAAGGGTTCAGATGAAAACACCAGACACCACGCCACAGCTACGCCTATGTAAGGGAAACACTGCGGATCATTTAAAAGATAACAATAAAAAAACAATTTATTGGCCACAAACATATCTGTGTTAGAAGTTTTGTTTTGAATTGAAAAGTTTTCATTGTTTGAGTCCATCGCTAGAATTGGTTTTCCAGATGTGTAGGCTACACGCTGTCCTCTCTCCAGCTTCTGCTAGCATCTTCTGCTTCTTTAGCATCCCAAAGTATTTCTAGTGTAGCTGGGACATGTATTTGAATATGTATTACGGTGTGCTTGTGGGCTTTTTCTGTTATTCTTAAAGAAAAAAGTCGGAGAGAGTTTTCCCAGTCGAGACAGCGTGGTCTTTTATTTGTCTTCTCACATCTCAGGACAGCCGAAAGACCCAGACAATCACGAGTCCTTCCTTCTTATAGCTCACAGCCTTTTTAACATTCAGCAGTAAACAGGCGAGAACCAGACCATATTTGGTAGCACATCTCTTCTGTGGAAACTGTGGGTAGAGACTTCTGTCTGGGACACAGCAACACTTTTGGAATCACATCAAGTATTTCGCAAGTCAGATAAGCTTTAAGCAATTTTACTGGAAGCAAGCAGAAACCAAAACAGGAAATTCCTTTGGAGCTGATGTTGGAACAGCACACGAACTCTAGCCAGAAAACACTTTCAACCTAAGAACTCAGCTTTAACTCAATACATTTTGTAGATGACCTCTTGACCTTTTTGGCGCCAACAGTCCTCCCTTTGGTGGACTTGTCCACCACACATTACTATCGTAAACAAATTAGCAAGGTAGGGTATACCAATAAATGAATGCTTAACTAAGTAACAGAACAAATGAGCAACAAATAATGATAATGTAACAATATGACCGAGGATAGAGACAAAAGGGCATAACATATGACCTTGAATCAAAAAAATGCATAAAGGAGAACCCATGCCAAAACACGAGATGATTTTCCAGACTAACACAGCAACGTTAACACGTATATGTAATGAACAATGATTAAGACACTGACAAACAACCGATGGGTTCACAGCTGAGACAATGAAAAACTATGAAACAATACATGAAACATGACCTTAGCATTAACTGAACCCATTACTTCGTGAATGTATTGCATGCGCGCTCCGTATGGAGGCAAAAAACCCTGCCCGCTGTACTTTAACAAGGAAAATTCCTCCATGTCCTCCCCGACCCCAGGGACGAACACCACGGCACAGAGCGTGCATGCGAGGACATTGATGACACATGTCCTCGTCAGTGATCAAAAGAAAAAGCACACACAAATCAACAAAAGCACATGAAGATAAACAGGTGACAAATATGATGAATAATGAACAATTAGCTTTAGCGAAGACGTAATGAAACAGTAATAAGTCCGGTTGAAAACTTCATTCAAAAGAATAAAACGGAAAATACAAGTTCAGCATCCATGTCGGCGTTGGAGGCCTTCTGCTGCAGGAGGGCTTTATGTGGACAAGTGTCCTTTATTTGTCAGGAAAGCAAAGGCATGAGTCCTTGGCTCAGTCCTCCCTTTGTCCATCTTCGTGCAGCGAGGCGGTGCCGACTCCATCCTCCCCACAGCGAGCAAAACACAACATGTCAACAAGAAAAACTTGAATTAGCACGCCAATTGCCTATAAACCTATTACCACAAAAACTTCCTAAATATTAGACCCATAGACAAAGCATCCATCCCCACATTCACACCCCCTTTCTATACTACTCACTATCCTAAATTAACCCTCTGATGCATGAATTATGAAATCTTCAACCATGATTTTTTTAACAATTTTTTTCATTCGTCTCTAGGTGTGAATGAAACAAATGTCAACAAATATGTTTTGTAAAATTTTATAATTTACAAATAATTTATTACATGTCCATCTCAGTGGACAGCGTGCATTCTGAGCATGAAATATGTTGGCTTGGCTTCCTGAAGTCCAAATGGAGGGGCTCAAATGAAATAAAGTCTTCAACAGCTGTGCTTAATAGCAAAAATAAATAAATAACAATTTTGAGTACCTGTCCAGTGTAGTGACCATTATGCATCAAAGGGTTAAAGAGCTAGTTTGCCAGCACGGCATGCAATGATACACTCAAACATTTACGGGCTAATGGTAAAAGCAAAACTCACCTGACTGCCTTGATAACTAGGAGCAATGTAAATGGCCGCTCGGTAAAACGACCAGAAATAAGTCCTTAAAACCAAATTTAAAAGTCATCCAGCCAATTCGACCTAAACTCAATCAGAATCACCTATTCTGATCCTCAACCTTCGACACCACCGTCAAACCCTTCATGCAACATCCACACACCCTCAAAAATGAGCACATGCTAACTCATCACTATAAGAAAACACTAGTCAAAACATGACATCCAGCACCCTCCAGAAGATCTGTCGCACCTGAAATGGAGTACTAACAGTCATGGTTATGTTATCACACTAAGTTAAAGAACTTAGACACAAACGGGAACAAAAATGATGTGAAACCTAAGAATATATGGTAAACTCATATGTTGGGTCGCCTATCATCAGTAGTTCTGAATCCCCAGCATACGAGGAATTAATCCGCAGCATTATGACCTATAACATTGTCAGTAATGTGCTCTAAGCACTTATCCAGAAACATGTTAGTTCTGGGCCCATTATTGGTAGTTTACCAGGAATACACACATGCTATATTCTGTCAGGATTTGTCTCTTTATTACCTCAGATCTGCCTGG